ACATAACAGTGTGTAGTGAGTACGTAACACAGCGTCAGTTGCATCGCGCAACAACCGTGAATACACACTGTGTAGTAATCAGAATCGCCATACAGGGCAATGAATGCTGCGGCGGGGGCTGGGCGCCAGCCACCAGGAAAGCATTGACTGCTATATGAAATGGTATAGCTCGTCCGCGGCATCATGCACGGGGACATAGATAGCCATCTCCTCGGGTTTCCCCGAGCTTCCGCTCTGCGATGTGTCTCCCGGGGGAGAGGCTTCGCCTATGAGGCGGGTAATAATGTTGGGGAGAGAAGCTCTTTTGCTGAGACATGTAATGTACCTTGTTATTGAAACAGAACACAGCGGTTTCAGAAACAACACATTCTCGTCGAACTCTGGGCGGGAACACGCCCTCTTCGCACCGGTCCGACGAACACGTCCCGCGCTCTTTCCTCCCTGACACGCACATCAGGAGCGCAGTTTTTTTTTTTTTTTTTTTTTTTAGCGACTTCCTGAACTGCCTCTCGCTTCAGCTTTACGGCCCGTGCCGAGGCCACCTTCCCGACGGCAGCTCCTTGGGCGCTGTCCACTCCAGCACCATATCTGCCACCGCCTCAGTGAGAATGGCCATAAGCTCCGCACCCAAAGAGGCGAGGGCGCCTTCAGACGGAGACTCGGACCATTGGCGTCGTCATCGTCGCAACCGAACGAGATAATTCCCGTGCTTCCTCAAGAGGGCGGTAAATGGCCTCAAGAGTAACTCACGGGCTCTGCCACGTGAGGATGGCGTGGACCTTGGGCCGACGTCAGCGCCTCAACAGAACCCGCGAATGGAGATCTCTGCCGTCTCCCGGTCCGCGGCTCGAAGGCGGCAGACTGGGGAGAGGCAGGAGACACAAGGTCGTCGCTACGTGTAACGGCCAGCCTTGCACGAAGGATCTGATGGGAAGCTCCTCACAGGCGGGACATCCCGATCCCTCGAGTGCCGCCTCTGCGTGGTTCCGACCCAGGCACAGCACACAAGTTGTGTGCGTCCGGGGATTCAATGGGTCCACCACACGGGCGACAAAGAGACATAATATAATCCACCGGAACGCGAGAGGGGAATTAAAACTCCTTAATATACTCCGCTCTGAATGCGTACATCAACGGTGAAAACAGACTCGAGTGAAGAAAATAGATTCTGAGGTTTTTGGCGCCCGCCGTCACCTATATTGAGCAGTGTCAGCCAATCAGGTGATGGCGGGACCGCCATTGGCTATTTGCAAGCAAAAGAGTTATTCTATCAGACTTCATGATTCGAGGAAAATGGATTTCCCCATACGTAATGTCGAGAGACCGACTCGATAAGGGAACCTCATTTCATTCCACATGTTATTATCATCACACAACTTATCATTCAACTTAGATTATCAGTTCCAAAGCAGAGACAAACCTTTGGGAAGTATTTGTGCAATCCCATGAATCCCAGCTCCAGAGTGAGGAACGGAGCAAATATGGACTGTGGAAACAGAAGACACAGCGTTAAGATCAGCCAAGCCAAGTCAACTCAAGTCACCTTCACTTATACAGCGCTTTTAACAATACAGATAGTTTCAAAGGAGCTTTACATTGATTATAGGAAATTAAAGTAACAGAGATTGTTTTGGCTTTACAGCAGCTCTAAAATAAAGTTATTGTCCAGCTAAAGTTAGTTTTGATTGATTCACTTCCGTTGCAAAGATCATTAGTTATTAACATGAGAGCTCTGTCCTGAGATCCAGGCTGATATTTCTTGTCAAATGTTGCATGGGTGGTCTCGAAGTGACAAATGAGCCCTGGAGAAACACACACACCTGCTCCGCGACACTCACCAGATACTGGCAGACGAAGATGCGCACGAAGAGTGCGAGAGCGATGCTGGCGGCGAGCCGGAACAGGCCGAACGGGTCCAGGTCCTCGGGCTCGGTGCCGGTGTGGTCCGGAGCCGGCTTCTCTCCGGCCAGATGCCCGCGCAGCTTCATGGCGTCGTCGAGCCGGGACAGGTACTTCCTCAGACCCCTGCGAGGAGAGGACGGCAGCTCTCGGGACGAGTCCTCTTCTCCCGCCGCCTCGCTGGCGCTCCTGTCGGACTCGCCTGGGTGAGGAGACAGCCTCTTAGCGGAGCCGGAACAGGGCTCGTGCCGCTCCAGGTCCAGGTGGAACCGCGGCTCCAGGACGCTTCGGGCTGCTTTACAAACACAAGACCATATTCATTTATATTAATTTCATCATAATTAGAGCTGTCGTGATAACCGCAATATCCTAATACCACAATACTGACAAGCTTCTATTAGGGAGTTGCATGCCCTGAAATTGCAGCTATTTGTAATATGATGTGAACAGCATAAGGTGAATCTAGTTAACTCCTTCAGGACTGTCTCTCAGCAACGCTGGCTCCGGCTACATTAAAGGTGACATATTATGCCTCTTTTTCGTTAGATGCAATATAAATCTATGGTGTCCCCAGAATGTGTCTGTGAAATTTAAGCTCAAAATCCCCTCAGATCATTTATTATAGATTGTCATTTTTGCCCCTTTTTGGGTGTGAGCAAAAACGCAGTTTTTGTGTGTCCCTTTAAATGCAAATGAGCTGCAGTTCAGAAGAGGGCGGAGCCTTTACACGAGCTTCAGAGACTCCGGCAATAACAACACAGGCCAATCTCACTGATCCAGAATCAGGAGTAACCAGCAGCGAGTGCAGCCTTACGGAGAGTTTCACTTTTAGACGTTTCTGAATGTTAGCGGTTCATTTATTTAGTTGTTGTGCAGTCACCAAGTGATAGTTTAGTTTATTAGTTCACAGATTTTTTACTTGAGAGACCATTGACTTTACCTGATATTTATATATTCGGAGTATTGCTAAATGTAACACCAGACACATTACGGCATAAAATGCAGAATAAATGTTTGAGATCCTGCACTACTCTGCGCCTCATGTCGGATTGATCATGTGATGCTGTGGATGATCATCAGGTGCAGCTCATTAACCCCTTCTGGCCCTGCTGTACAGTAATGACTCATATGGGGACGTGTTGTGTAATGAAGAGAGTGTGTTATAGCAGAACCCACGTCTGTCCGTGCTGCTGTCCTCAGACTGGCTGAAGCCCACGATCTTCTTCATGCGATCCTCGGAGTTCTGCATCAACTTCCGCCTCCGGATCTCCGCGCGCCTCTGAGCGGCCGTGCGCGCGCCCTCGCTCTCCTCACACACCTCCATCACGCAGATATCGGTGATATTACCGCAGTTATTACTGATAATAATCCGTCAGCTGATCCTCTCTCTCTGTCTGTGTGTCAGTGTGTTATTACTGACGGGGCGGAGTCTCGCGCAGCATCATGACGTCACGCACAACGCGTCTCCGATGAATGACGAACCCGTTTCAAAATAAAAGCCAGAGCTCACGAAACTTCTGCTCGCATTATATTTTTTTGTCTTCATAACTACAAAATTCACCAAAAGATTATGGCTTAGTAGTAGAAAGTAATTATTTAATGTTACAAATGTACATTTGTATTTACACTTCCAACAACCAAAGTAGTGTTTATTTGTGAAGATTATCTACACACTACCATTCAAATTTACATTTCGTCACCATCCTAAAATAATTGCCATCATTGCAAGTCATTTGAAAATTTTAGGAAGGTGACTTTCACGAATGCATAATGGACTTCAAAGCTTTGATTCTGCTGGAGCTACAAAGAGTAAATAAGGGTTTTACCAAAGGACTTTAGTGTTACAGACAGAAAAATACATGTATTAAAAATAATAATAAATAAAAAACGAATTAAAAAATAATTAGGATTATGAGCATCACTTGATTGTGTCGAGGGGAATTGATTGGATGGTCGTGGTTTGCTATTGGCTGCTCTGATGTGATTGACAGGTTGCTCCGCCCACTGGACTCACACTGTGTGTGATCAAACCCCTGAGGATTCAGCATCACTGCAGATCTGCATACTCCTGCACCCATAAACCACTTATAATAAACACACCATTATACTATATATGTATTAAAATAAGAATTGTCCATTTTGATTTCATGCTGACTTATGACTAAAAAATGACCCGGATCCGCTGAAACATCGACACGTAAAGAAAGC